CCCGCTGGGGTGCCTGGCCAGCCTGGGTGAGGGGCTGATGGCTGTTTTCAGGCTGCCCGCACCCCCTTCAGGGTGGGGGTCCCCACTGGGGTGCCTTGCCAGTCTGGATGAGGGGCTGAGGGCTGTTTTCAGGCTGGCCAAGCCAGCGACTGAAGCTCCCAGCCTCTCCTTTTTTTCTTTTTTCTGGGATTTATTTACCTTCTATAATTGAAACTTTGTTGCCACTCCAGCTCCGAGGCCACAGCCTGCTGAAAGCAGGATATCTGGGGTTTGTTTAGCTTTTATATTTGCAACTTTGTTGCTTAGAGTGGAGCTCAGAGCCGGGCCGCAGCAGGGAGGAAGTTTGGCTTCCTCCATCACTGGAGCAAGCAAGCCTCCTGCTCACTTCAGCTGCGTGGCTGCCGGCCGCCATCTTGGTTGGGATAATTTGCATATCCTGCTGATTAGCCAATGGGAAGCGTAGCAGAGGTATGGTCAATTACCGTGTTTGTCTATTATTAGATTAGATGTGTGCTGTATATGTCATATATGTGTATATATTCATATGTATTTACACACAGAGAGAGAATTAATGCACAAGATTCTAGGGACTGGCTAAGCAAGCCTGGGCTGGGAGTGAGGGAGGGAATATCCTGGGGTAATGAAAAGCCATTGCAGGCCCACATGATGCTCAGAGCATCTGATTATCAAGAAGGCCCCAGTCTCTTTTTAAGGGACTTCCACCTGATGAAGTCACACCAACCCAGAATATTCTCTGTTTTGATTAACTAAAAAAGTCAAATAATTTGGAAATGTACATTACTTTGATAAAATCTTTCTTAAAAACACTAAGACTAGTGTTCCAGTAACTGGGAAAAGTGTGTGTTTCCACAAAATGACTGCAGGGTTGCTTTCCACTCTCAAATTGTTTTTAGAGAATATTCTTTGTAGTCCAACCTAACCAGAAACATAGAACAGAAGAAGAATTCTGGGGCCTGCAGTACAGGCTTGCCAAGCTAATTCGTCACAAAGCCATCTTATCACAGCTCTTGGCCCCTTTGCTTCATTGCATTTATTACAGAATCAAGTCACGCATGCATGTGTATCTACCTTCCCAGGTGTGCTCTGTGAGGGCAAGAACTATGTCTGTATCGTGTATTGTAACATTCTCATCACTGGCACAATTCCTTCACAGAGCAGGAGTCAATAAATATCTGAAGAATGAATGAACATTTCTATGTCAGTATAACCTTCAACTATTTTGTTAAGCAACATGAACCTAACAGCCACCACAGGGGCCTTAGAGGTCATCCATGCGACAAGGAAAATAACGACCAATGTGAAAGAGGGTGTGTAAATATAAAGAGACATCCATTTTAGTTCATTCTGTTTCCATAGGGTCTTCCACACCATCGAAGTTCTTTGTAGCTTGAACATGATTTCAGAAGCAGAAATGGTTTCAACAACTTTAATGTATTCAACCAATATTTACAGAGCATCCAGTTCATGCCAGAACTATGTCCAGACCTAAAAACAAAGATGACAGATGACGAAGGTCCTGCTCTTAGGTGGCTCACAGCCCAGTGAACAGCAGTAAGCAGGTCGGGTCGCATAACACAGGGCTCAGGGATAGGCCGGATGTCTATTCAGGATGCAATGTAGGGAGGATGCAGTCATGGATTTTCTCTGGTGAGGAGCCACAGAGTATGGCACGGATGTGGCATCTTACAGAATGCTTCGCTCTGATGTGGACAAGGATGGAGAGAGCAGCATGAGCCAAGCCCACAGCATATTAGGAGAATTGAGAAGGGATGTAATTATGGCTAAATGTGGGGTATATAGGAGCAGGTGAGTCTAGACTGGTCAAACTAGAGCTGTAGCCAAATCATTCAAGCTTCACAGGAGCTCCTCCAGAATTACAGTGACCATAGAATCTTTGATCCTAACTGTCCTTTTGTCACATTCCCTTATAGCTTTTCCCAGCTTTTATGGAATTTCTTTGACTCTAGGCCAGGTCTTTTTTTCTTGAAACAATTCAAAGATTGTGTTCAATCTCACTTCTAATCCCAGGTACCCACAAGTCATTCTTTCACAGGCTGAGCCTCAGTGTCCTGAGCACCCAGGGAAGGGTCAGGAAGATGTACTCAATTTTTATTAAATAAACTAGAGGCCCAGTGCATAAAATTTGTGCATGGAGGGGGTCCCTCAGACCAGCCTGCACCCTCCGCAATCCAGGACCCCTCGGGGGATGTCCGACTGCCGGTTTAGGCCCAATCCCGGGATCGGGCCTAAACCGGCAGTCAGACATTCCTTTCGCTATCCGGGACTCCTGGTTCCTAACTGTTTGCCTGTCTGACTGCCTGATTGCTTACTACTATTCATCATTGTCGAGGATTGTCAGGGCCAGCCTGACAGGTTGAGCCGGGCTGAGGTAGGGAGGTCGGAAATGAGAAAAACAAAGATGATGAAAAATTTTTGTATTTCTTTAATCAATGTGTTCTCTTCGGTGATATATATTGCATTATATATTGATGTGTGTATCAATATATACTGATATGTATTACACTTAACATACAAACACATCAATATGAGGGGGTAAAAACCGTAGCCTTTGCATTCTCTATAGTCTCTACAGAGAGATCCTAAGCAGCAAAATCTTGGTTTCATGTTGTACAGAAATGGAGAAGAGTATTAAACCATATTTAAGAATTAAAAAAAAAGGACTGTGTCTAGTCCTTTCACTTTTCCATCCTAACTTATTATGACCTTGCATGCAGCTGGCAATGCATTTTATTGGCTGCTTCAGATAACATTCAGCAGATAATTCCCGATAAAACCATTAGAAGCAGAAAAAAAAACACAACTCTTAGAAGTAGAAAATAAAATAAAAGTATCTACCAGAAACCTACACAGCAGCTTTGTTTTAGGTCAAGAACAAGAGTAGGATGCCTGTTATTACTGTTACTATTCATCATTGTCGAGGAGGTCCTAATCAATTTAATAGGAAAAATGAAGTACTGCAAAAAAGAGACAAAACATATTTGCATGTGAGATAACACACAACTTAAAAAGCCTAAGAGCATAGATTAAAATTTTATAGGCAGTAATATGACAATTCAGTAAGATGGCTAAATCAAGACATGTAAATCTCAATATCACAAATAACTAATTAAAAAATGAAAAAAAGAGTCCATTTACAATATCAATAAAATGTATAAAAGGAATAAGCTTGACAAAAAATGTGTAAGACTCATTAAAACTCTTCTGAAGGACTTTAGAAAGAATACAAAATGAGATACCATGTTCCTAGAAGGTCGTAAAGATGCCAATTCTCCCTAAATTAATCTACAAATGCAATGTAATCCTATTCAAATTCCAAGATAATTTTTAAACATAAACTGACCAACTGACATTTGGTAGAGAAAATACGCAATGAAATGTATGAAAAAGATCAAAAAGGAGTTTAACTTCCAAAAAGGAGTTTAAAATGGAACTGGAATTATATAGTGACACAGGCCCTAGCCAGTTTGGCTCAGTGGATAGAGTGTTGGCCTGCATACTGAAGTGTCCTGGGTTACATTCTGGTCAAGGGCACATACCCGGGTTGCAGGCTTGATCCCTAGCAGGGGACATGCAAGAGGCAGCTGATCAATGATTCTCTCATCATTGATGTTTCTAGCTTTCTCTCCCA